TAATAGTAAACGATATTAAATAATGATAATTAATAGATAATAATATCTGCACAATTATGCAAACAAAAATATTATATTATTGGATTATTGCTTCATCTTCATCGATTCAATGAGAAAATACTGTTGATTTTGACCACCGTGTATTCCTGACAACTGAAAAAGCGTTTTATATCAGAGATCGGCCGAATTTATTGTGTTTCTAACTTTAACAATGTCCAAGAAAACTTGTCTATCGGTTGTGCGCGACTTTAACCGAGTTCGAGACGAATTCGAGCTGCAGCGCGACAGATATACTGAGAACTCAATCTGTGCCTCGCGCGATTCGGCTCGCCTGAATGGAACTTTACCGGTTTATTGATTCACCGTACGAGGATTTCGTGGAGAATAAAATAAATGTACCAAGAACCTGCCGTCGCAAAGTGATAAGTCGATTCACCAGATATACTTCCGGCATTGCGTATCCGACTAGATCAACATTTGCCAACCACCTCTTTCGATATGTGAATCTCTTATATCTCTTAGATAGTACGAAGAATGACCATCGCATTTGTATATTATTTTAATATATTTAAAAATCGATATCAAATCGAGTATGTAATATTGTTATTTCTAAAAAATTGCGTCAATTTTCTAGGATCGATTTTCTGTAAAAATAAATTTCAAGTAGCCGTCAATTTCTTACGATAAACTTGAAACAATAGAAACATCGAGAAAATACTGTTGATTATTACTGCAATATTTTGCTACGTCGACATGTCATTGGTATTTATATAACGCCAAACGTTCATCTAGCGTGAGTGTATCATTTACAACCGTCTGAATAACATGTGTCATACAATAAAACAAGTTACACCCACTTGAACTTACTACTTGCAGGCATCTCAAGTCACTTTGACGTTAAGCAGCTTAAACGGCTGATACATCCGTGTACGCCGTTCTGTACATCGGATTAGCTGCATCTAAGAGCTCCTTGTTCCTACGCGCTGTAAATTGGAATCTGTTCTCTACTGCTATACTAGCACTCAGACTCGACACAATTTCGCCTTATACTAGTGAATAGCAAGCACGCGCATGAACAACCTGGAGACAAAGCTACAACGAAGATCGTGAAATGCGTAATCTTGAATGGAGAGAGGCGCGATATTGCATATCTCTGTGCAATAATATTAGTTATAACGAAAATGCGGCTAATGAAGTTTGACAATAATTACATAAAAGTAGCATCACATGCATTAGTAACTAGCTCTTAATTGGGAATATAGAGATGCTTTCTCGTAATCAGTGTTTTCTTAGCAATTGTGAAATCCGATTACTTTATAACTTTGAGAATATTCTGTTACGTGTATAATATATTGAATAATCAATTTTTTTAATATAGGTATTAATTAATATAATATTATACAACTTAAGCAACCAAATTTTGTGTAATATAATTTATAATCTTAAAATTATCGAATAATCAAGTTGAATTCAATTAGACTCGAAGAAATTATGAAAATCCAAATGCATCAGATATTCACAAATCTTTAATTTAAAAAAAAAATACAATATTAAAGTTAAGAAATATAAAAATTAAGAAATAAAAATGTTTATTTTTTTTGCTGTTTTTTTATTAATTAACATACAATGCAAATGAAATGACCGCACATTATAATTATTACCTCTCTTTCATACAAATGCATTAATTTAATATCGTTGTTATCGTAAACGTGAGCACAAATTGCGCGAAGTAATTATCTTGGCAAGTACGCCGGCCGACGATGATACGTAACTGAACTGAGAATTATTCGCGTAATCTACATCATCGTAATGTTGCGCAAACTGGAATCGATTATTTGCCACGTTGAACTTCCATTAGCGCCAGCCGGTTGTGTTTATGTATCTGACAGTTGTAACGCGGGTGCAATTAGATACACATTGAAGCAACAGTAACTTTTTAGGTTTCTGTTTCGTTAAAATTATCTTATTACTCGGTGGATGAAAAGTCGGTCAAAAAACAAAATAACAAGAAGGAATAATCTCTGAACAAAATTACAGATATTATCGTTTTTTACGTTTTATTCCAATTAAACAATTAAAATTTTGAGAACAGGATATCCGGATTATTTTTAGAAAATTTTGACGAGAAGAAAACTTAAATTTAACATAAAAATTATATTAATTAATTAGCAAGAAATTCATATATGAAATGTATGAATAAATAATATAAAAATAATTTTAAATTAAAAATTTTGTTCTGCTATTGTACGTAAATTTCTTTCATAAGGAAGAGAAAATTGAAAATCGACTTGTATTACTCGTAAAATATGACGATAAATTAACGGTAAGTTTGCGTGTTGCGTACAAAAACTTCGAAGAAGCACAATCGTTTCCTCCTTGCTCCGTACAAAATACCATCGTAGACTATCGATTTAGAACAGCGTAAACACCATGTAGGAGACAGTAGGAAACGAGAGATAGATATGCCGCCGGGTCACAAAGAAACTAATCTCCAATACAGCGTAATGTAAAGGTAATGGCCTTTCGAGGTGGAAAAAAAAATGACCTGTCAGAATACGGTCAGCGCATCTTTTGCATCACAAACGGCGATCTTTCAGTAAAACTTGGTCAGACCTCATCGAAATCTCGTAAAGGACTTTTCGGTAAGACGTGGACGACATGGAAAAGCTATCGCTTTAAGCACGACTCATACGATACATAGAATGTGAAATGTAGTTTCTTATTAAGATATAAGCTTCATTCGTGAAGATCTGTTTTCAATTTATTTAATCATTATTTAACGTGCTGTTCAAATAAGTATTTTTTAATTTTAAAAAATGCTAACCAAATTCTTAGTATATTAGCCTAAATTAAATACAAGGATAATACGATAAAATATTTATCTTTATCTGCAGTTCCATTTTAAAAATATAAAATTGGATTATAATTAAATAAGAAGAGAAAAAAAAATGAGGATCTATCTTTTCTAATCTTGACAGCATATTCGAAACATCAACGACGCCGTCAACTCGCATGATATGGCACCAATGATATCTAATGTAGCAACAGAAATAGAACGAAATTACAAAAACTTCCTTGATGAACATTTGTAGAAATTTTCGACAGTTGACAAATTTTCCTCACATACATCAAATTGACAATCACATAATTGTTTCTTTAAGTAACGAAATTTTTTATGAAAATTTAATAAAATTTACTTTAGTAAAATATTTGATGAAAAAGTATTTATAATAAAAATTTGTTTCCATATAAATATTACGGACACAAATCAAGGCTTATTGAATTATGATAAACCGATTATGTAAATATTATATTGCGTTTGATTAAATATTATATTGCGTGATTAATTGTGGCGTACTGACTATATTTATAATTTATTAACCATACAAAATTATGTGTGTCGATCGCTTGCTTGATATCAACGTTTCAGAGATAGTATTGTGACGTTGATACGAAAGTTGGTCATGTAGATGATGGTTTGCCTTCGAATGTCCCTTTCGCTTTGCAAGGCCAAGCTACGCATCTTTTTCAAATTCGACACATCCATTTTACCTCTTGCGATAGAATCGAGACATGGTTCTATGACTCGGAATGACAGCTCCGCAAGAATGCGCCCGGTCATCGCAATGTGATATAAAATCCGAACGGCTAACCGTGACGAGGAGAATTCTCCGGATGAAAGGTGTGCTGTGTGACTTATCGATCGAACATCATCGAGGTGCACCGTCGACGTTTTTTAGAGCGTCTCTTTATGCAGATGATGCATCGATGCGATCGCAAATCGATATTTACTATTAAAGTAATTTATTATGAATTAAAAAATGTATAATTTATAATAAATATAAAGATACACAGCAAAAAAACATTTTATATTTGTGTCAAAACCGATCAAGTCTTTGTTAAAATTTTGTGTTAAATTGGTATGCAATATTTCTTAACGTCAAAATAATATAATTTAGCCAAGTGACTAAATGACATAAAAATAAAATTTGGAACATAAATTCTGAGATAAATGAATAAAATACATGTTGATTTAATATACCATAAATATTAATTTTACTGAAAAAAAATATGCTTCCACAATTTGCTACAAATTGTGTCAGTGTCATATTTTTATATTAATTTCTTTACATGATATTTATATTATTTTCTGACATTTTCATTTTGTTTTTGTATTAAAAAGTAACACAAAATGGACCGCTTGAGACACATGAAATGTGTTAAATTTAACACAAATTTTTCAATTATGTAAAGAATTAAATAATATGCAATTTTACGATGCTAAAATATCACAGGAAACTACGAAAATACTGCTAAGGTACTGCCAAGTTATTAAAACTTGCTCACAAAAAAATAACTACTATTTATTTTGCGATTATAAATATACGGAATGTACATTGTATTCTTATGAATATTTCTAATATGTAATAAAAAAAATATCCTTTTAATGCAACTATTATAAAATCGCTTGTAAATAATTTGTCGTGTTTTATCAATTATCAATGCTTTTAATCGGTAACACCGTTGCACCAGCAATACCGCCGTATCTGTGGTTCGTTATCAATTTTTTTCAACTTAATCACATACTTTTTATTACATCGTGATATAGCTTTATCGAGCAGTTCGACGCAACACTCGACTGTAAACTCGCGTAAACGAACGATGATTAAAACTGTCTCTCGCTGATTTATTTTTCCCGCACGCTGCTGTTTTATGTGTACGCTGTGTTTGTGTCTCGCCATATCCTGTAAAATTACATTTACACTTCATGATCACAAAATCTCTCGTGATGGACAATCGCGTATTTTTCCCGAAGAGAAGCAGGTGTGGCGATGTTTTATCAAGCGCATACACAGATACATGCAAAGATGTTCTTAAACTTCGTTTAGATTCGAGTCTTCTCGAGCGAATCTTTAATCGATATTTAAGTTACATGATACTCTTGGAACTATGTCTTGGAACGATGTCATTGTTGAACTCGAAATTGCTTTCTGTTGCAGAAGCGCGAGCCAGAATACTCGGCCAGGCTGATATCTACGTGAAGACCGGAAGTCTTTTGACGTTGACGTGTGTCATGTCGCAAGGTCCCCACGATTTGGGAACGGTAGCTTGGTATCGAGGAAGTCAGGCGGTGGTGACATCAACGCGATCAGAAAACGACATCGAAACAGAACCTCGTATAACCGTCGAGACGGAATGGAGTGACGCCCTCACGTCGAAGTAAGAATGAATGATTTATAAGCCATTTATTTTCTAAAGAATTATTATACTTAACTTGATTTAAAACTTTCATTTTTAATAATAATTGTATTCTAAATTTCTTACATTGAAATCTTACTCCAAGAGAATGAAAATGCACTCTTGAAAAAAAAGTGAAAATATTTCACTTCTTGAAAAAGAGATAGTTTTTTGAAATAAAAATTCACTCTTTTTAAAGTGAATTTTTACTTCAAAAAAGTGAAATCTCACTCCAAAAAAAGTGAGATTTTAATCTAAAAAGTGTGAAGATTTTTTTCCAAGAAGTGAAATATTTTCACTTTCTTTAAAGGGTGATTGCATTTTCACTCTCTTGGAGAGTGAGATTTCACTGCAAGAAATTTAGAGTGTATATAATAAAATTTCGCTTCGCATAGAAAAAATATATGCTGCAGAAAAAAAAGCGGACAAAAATTTGTCGATATAATCAATCGTTTCATAAGTAAACCTCGTATACGATTGTGTATCTCTCTTGCGACAGCGTATACAATTATTTCTATTTTAAATATCAAAAACTTAGTTAACTCGTAACTTGTTTGCACGCTATGAACAAAATAGAAAAAAAGCTCGTCATGCTTGTCGCACATTTCAGTGTCATCACTTCCGCACAGAGGAAACTCTCATAAACGTGCGCACCCGTGTGATATTGTTATACGAAGTGCTATTTAATTTTTTACACCAGCTCCAGTCAGACGGATACATCGAATAAATAAAAAATAAAGATCACGCGCGCCATATATTTGCGGCCGTCATATTTTAACGCAGTTTAAATATTTCAATTTTTGTCACAGCATCACTGGTGCGTTTTAAAAGCAGGATTCTACAATGCGACCAGGCGGATGTTACGCCCTGAACGATATGCACGTCGCAATTTTGTAAAATTGTTCAGCCAAGGACTCGCAACGCGATAACACGCTTACTCCGCGTTAAAATAAGCTCGACCAACGAACAGTTGAAAAAATGTCATGAAGTATTAAAATGTAATAATCAATCACATTCAGCTACTTTTTTTCTTGTGGCTTCATCAGGCGCGGTCAATATTCGTCAAGCGCGATTGGTTTCAGTCGTTCCTCGTCAAAGCATTTTTTTTTCTCGACAATCCTTTCATCGAAGCGTCGCGTGTATAATATTTCATCGCACCCGCTGTAACCATATCTTTTTCGAGCTGCCGGCAAAATAAATAAATGGTCTTCCGCTTATCCCCTCCCTCGCCCAGGGGAAATAATGAGAAATAATGGTGTGCTGGGGTGGTTGTCCCGCCGGTCCTACACGTCGTCGTGGCTCTTTGAAAAACTGATCCCACGCTCAAATTAATTTATTTCGAGATACCCGTGGCTTCACGGGACTGTAACTACCTTAAAAATATGCGATACGTATACCGTCAAAGCATTCGTTGGTAACAATGATGACAGAAATTTTATTCCATCTATTAAAATATACAATTCGTTTATGCGCTGTATATAATATGAATGTTAATTCAATACCGTTGTAAATCTATCTTCTTGTAATTTTTAAAACATTAATAGGTATTACTAATGTCATATAATTATTTAGCATAAAATAGCAATGTAGATATGCGACGAAATTTAATATTTAAAATTTCTCCTTTTTCTTCTTCCTTTTATGTAACCCTCTGTGTTACATCTCTCTTATACTATATACTTATGATGTGCGCGCTGATTATTCAATTGCCACAAATGTGTGGGACCTGCAATTTTAATGTCGGTTCCAAGTGGTGAATTTTTCAATGTTTCTGTAGGCAAGGATACTCTTGGGAAGTTGCCGACCTTTTCCAGGAGAAGACATGAGCGTAAATATTTTCTATCCTATCAGGATCGAACCTGAACTTATCTGACATGATAGACCATTACGTTGTCTGCCATGTCACTCTCGCGCTCATTTAAAATGTAATATTTACAATTTAATATTTAATATTTAAAATAAGATTTAAATATTTTACATAAAGAATAAATCATCTTCCTATTGTGCACATTTTTCCTACTTTTGAACGTAAAAAAAGATTTTTACACTTATACGAAAAGAATGATTTTGCTGATCTAAAAAAATGTACGCAGTTACAGATTTAAAAATAATAATTTTGTTGGAAAATAATTAAAATAAATCAAAATAATTAAAGAAAGAAACTCAAATATGATGAGCAATGTTGTACAAAGTTTGGACATTTTAATCAGTTTGAACAATCTATATACCTAATTATTTAGCCAACAAAATTTTCAAATCTGTGTATCTGTAATTAATGAGTCAATTCTAAGTAGAATCGTAAGATCTGTAACGTGTTCTCGTAAAACTTGTAAGAACTTATGACTGATCTATTCTAATTTTTTCTTATACGTACGTATCGTAAGACGATTATTCATAAATATCTACGATTTCTTGTAAATTTTATGACTAGTAAGAAGCTGTAAAAATATTGTATAAAAGTATAAGCACATAAAAATTCTTACAAGTCTTACAAGAATATGTTACAATCCTTACAATTCTGCTTGGAATTTAGGCATAAATCTTTAGATACTTTAGCAAAACCGTTCTTTTTGTATATAGACATACAAAAAAATGCATTTTAAAATACAAGCATGAACTGCACATTAAAAAATGTTTGGAAATACGACAAAACAGCTACTTGTGTAATTATTGTCTACGTCTCATTTCTCTACTCAGAATTCAAGATAAAAGTATTCTATTGGAATTACTTGATAGAAACCAGGAGAGGACATCGCGACGCTGTGGCGTCACATGACATCTGATTATTCTAATTGTCCCGGGCAGATCCGAGACAACAGGGTCTTTTGTCACGTGGCCCGCGCACCGTGAAGACGCATCGGACATGCCCCGCATTTCGGGCGACCTGGCTGTTCAGCCAGGTCGCTTGTGTCGGTCCGAATATTGCGTCGCCGTCACCATCGTCGCCGTTGTGTCCACCACGCGACGTCGCGCGTCCGTTTTTGGACGTGATTGACGATTGTCACGACGATGCCGTTGCACATCGCGCGGGCAAATTTACGGGGCCGCAACTCAAGAAGCGAATTAATTGTCGCGCAACTGTCGGTCCGCGACTTCCGTCATGCAAACGTCCGCTTTCGGTAAATTCGATGGAACTGTCCGAAAGTACAGCGAGCGAAACGTTCCCATAATGATAGTGTCGTTGATGTGACATGATTGGTGGTATTTACATTTTCATACGCGATATGTTTGTTAAAATTAGATACATCCATTAGATCCTAATTTATTTACTCCAAAATTCCTTTAACTGATATTCGGGTCTATACCTACTTTAAATTAATATACATATACATAATTAAAACGAACGTAGTTATATATTTAAAAAGAAGAGCATAAAAAATCACCGCATAAGTTATAGTTTGTGATATTTAATTGTCATTACATTAATTAAAACATTAAACATTTCGGCCACAATCTGGCCATCTTCAGTAAATTCCCAATATTCTTAAAACGCAGAGTTACATATAGTTGACATTAAATTCAACCGTCATATGTTGTAATTATATAAACGTGTTCTTTCATATATGAAGATAAGTATATGAATATATGTGAATATATATGAATATATGTGATATATAATATATGTGAAGATTCGTACAATAATGTTACAACGCCAATTGTCATATCACGAAAACGAGAATTTCCAGATTCTAATTTAAACAAATTTGTGTATCATTAATACGTTTAATGTTTTAATTAATGTAATGACAATTAAATATCACAAATTATACTTGTGCGGTGATTTTTTATGCTCTTCTTTTTATACGTTTTTAATATACATATATTTTTACTTAAAAGGAACATAACTGAACGAATTTTTTTTTCATTTTGAAGGTCAAAGTATACGAGGAATAAAATTACTTAATTTAAAATTATATAAGGTTTTGAAAAACATTTATTATGTAAACAATTTTTCACAGTATAATTGAAGAAATGTTCGACTTTACTGTAATCATAAGTTTAAACGTAAAAAGAAATATCTGCAGTCTTCTTTTAAACTTTTTTAAATGAATAAAACTTCTCTATAAATCCGCGTTCCTTTTTAATTTGTGTCAAATATATAAATTTACAAATAGAATGAAATGCATGAGGAGTTTATATGAACATTATATTATCCGACAATAATATTCCCAGAATATTTCCAGAATAAATACATTATTCACATTCATAAAGAGATATTCAAATTCCACATTAACGCGAGGAGTTAATCTACGAACCTGATTTTCAATCCTGGCACTGGTTTTAATCCTGAATTTCCATGCACGCGCATAAATCATTGGTGCTCTCGATAATATTAACGTGTAACCGGATAACGTTTTATTCCGTTGTATAGAGATTATCTTTCCTTCTACCATGAAGATGGCGGTTCTCTGTCGAGGAGCTTAATCCAACGTTGCTATACATTTTCATTACTCTCGAACTACATCGAGTCCATCGTTATGGCTCGTCGTCATACTGGCATTGTAATAATTATTTCGTGGTACATCCAGTTCACGGAATTGCGGTAACCGCACGTGGAATAGCGTTACCGTAGCCTTAAGCGGTGGTTATTGGTCCCACGAGTGCGATGCATTACATTGCGCGATGAAGCTAACTACTGAAATACGGGAAGTAAATGAGTAATCGATAATCTATTGGGAGCGGTGCGCTTCTTCACGTGACGTTCTATATCGTGTAACGGATATCCCTATTATCTTAGTATATCTTATGTACCTGGCAAAACTATCGTGTCGCTTCTTATCTAAAAACGATAATTATAAACAGCACGTGAATATTAGAAATACACTAATGAGAATAATTAATGAAAGATGATAATTATTAATATTTGTAATCGACAATTTGTATACTGATGATATTAATTAAAACTTTTCTCAAACTTTTACATCTACCTCTTCTCTCGCATTCATTGAGAAAGACGCGTTAAGTTAAATCTCCACAATTCT